TCTCACACCCCCACTTTCTGCTGGGTTACAGGGCAACGCAACTCACCCCAGCTCCGACCAGCGTCGTCCCGGCAGCAACCCTTGGTTGTCCCGTGGAAAGCCCCCCCAAGACCTCCCCAGATCTCTCTACCAGACCTAACGCTCCTCCATCGCAGGTTACAGGGTAACACCCCAACTCTGGTCAGCGTCGTTCTGGCATCGAACAAACGCAGATCTCGAGTATAACAGCGTTGAGGCCACGTAAGACGAGTTGGTAGGGATCCCTAAGTCCTAAAAACATCCTAGGACCACTAAGCACCCAAATCTCTTTAGGACATTCAAAAAGTGTTTTTAAAAAAAATATAAGAACGGGGGGGGTCAAAACTAAAACTGTCTAATATCCTAGAATCCCCCTTCCAACAGATAGAGCATCGGTCCAGGCTTTTAGACCTTGTACCAGAACTCGCTTGATCTCATACCCCCTTCTGCTAGGGTAACAGGGCACCACAACCCTCCCCAGTACCGATCAACCTAGCTCTGACGGACAAGAACTGCCTTCCTCCCTCGACAATTCCCGTAGCAGCAAGCCCCTAAACAGGTTACAGGGTCAATACCCCGGCGTCAGCTATGTCGGACGATCTGGTTATGCCTTTCACCCTCGACATAACTTTCCAGGCCTCAAGCTCCCCTGGGTTACAGAGCAGCGGCTCCAGCACCGGCCTGTGTCGTCACAGCCGCGTCCTTCTGACCTACTTACCCAAACAGACAACCTTTTCTGTTGAAAATCCCCTTGCTACCTTCCTTCAAACCTAGCTTCCCCCCCCCCTTCGGCTCACTGTGTAGCCCTGAAAATCACTCCTTCCCTCAAAAAATCCTAACACTGCTATAAGCAGCCACCCCCTTGCCTTCTCTCCCCACCCCCCAGTACTGATCCGACCCTAAATCAGTTTGGCTAAGAGACAGCAATCCCCCAATACCGCCTCCCCCCTCCAAGAATAACGCCTCCCACCTTGTGAAACCCTCACGGGGGGAGGCTCCAACCCTCAAGGAAGACACCACAGGTATACACAGCAAGCCACAATTACACCCCTCAAGA